AAACAACTTGTTTGTAAAAACTAATAAAATTCCACGCTAAATTTGACAAAATATATAGTGGGATTTACAACTTTCATAGTGAAAATGACCACTTATTCAATGGGTTTTGCAACCTGTTTTCAAGAGATGGGTAACTCGTTTCTAAAAACTAATAAAATTTCACGCTAAATTTGACAAAACATAGTGGGATTTACGATTTTTGTAGTGAAAATGATCACTTCTTCAATGGGTTTTGCAACATGTTTTCAAAGGATGGGCAACTTGTTTCTAAAAATCAATAAAATTCCATGCTGAATTTTACAAAACATATAGTGGGATTTACAATTTTTGTAGTGAAAATGACCACTTCTTAAACGGGTTTTGCAACCTCTTTTCATTGGATGGCCAACTTGTTTCTAAAAATCAATAAAATTTCACACTGAATTTTACAAAACACAGTGAGATTTACAACTTTTATAGTGAAAATGATCACTTCTTAAATGGCTTTTGCAACATGTTTTCAGGGGATGGGTAACTTGTTTCTAAAAATCAATACAATTTCACGCTGAATTTTACAAAACATATACTGGGATTTACAACTTTCGTAGTAAAAATGACCGCTTTGTTAATAGGTTTTGCAACATATTTTTAGGGGCTGAGTAACTTGTTTTTGACCACCAAAAAAATTTCACGCTGAATTTTACAAAATATATAATGGGATTTATAACTTTTATAGTGAAAGTGACCACTTCTTCAATAGGTTTTGTAAACCTGTTTTTACCGGAAGTGCAATTTGTAAGTATAAATAAATCATTTAGTGAACGTGCATCTAAAGTACATCACAATAAACATTGAACTATTAACTTTCATAATTAACTACATGTATAATAAAATCTACCATTCACGTAATGGAATTTACCAAAAACCAACAAGCATATGACAACAGTTACATTACGTAATTGCTTGTTATCATTTTCTAATTTCTGCTTCATCATTCACCAAATACTGAATACAAACCTTCAAATGCAATAATTCTGTTCCTATTTCACCATGAAACAGCCACAAAAATGAATAATCCAAATCCCGCAATCAACTTTTACTCACTCACGTAATCCCACAGGTTCACTCCTTCTCTTACTACAAATCCTCTTTCCCACAACCAAAACCCACCAAATTAACAATGTCTACAGAATAGTGATGCGGAGAAGTAAGATAATAGCATTTCCAATATTCTTTTTTCCTTCTTCCCGTGTTTCATCAACGTCTTCCTCTATTTGCTTTCTTCTCACTTTCAGCTCCTTTTTACCTCACTCATTAGGGCAATTGGGTTATTAGACGAAAAATCAAAATTCCACATTGATACTTGATGCCTTCTTTGTCATTTTGCTTATTTGGATGTCTATTTTGTCATTTTAAAACTCAAACGGTATTTTGTGGTCATTTTCCCAAAATAATAAATATTTCAAGTATAAATAATAGTTTAGATTTAGGGCGTAGGATATTATATTCAATATACTAATAGACTAGCTGAAATTAAATTTTAAGCATAATTAATTTTAAATAATACCATCAAATTTCAAAATGTGAACATATATCATGCCAAAAGATTTATCTGCAAAAAGTCATACTGGTCTTATTTCATCTCTGCTCCCACATAGATGACCGACCAGGGACATTTAGGATAAATCATGAGTTATCCAAGGATAGTCATCACAGTAAACATGCAAATAATATGATAACATAATTAAGAAATTCATAAATCAACAATGTTCATAACACAATGATTGGCCCCTAGGGCACAATTTCTAACAATATGATCGAACTAATTCCTAAGAAAAACACATAAATAGAGAGATCATGGGTAGAAATGTGGCTTTAACAAAAATAAAAAATAAAAAATTATCTACAAACAATTCAACTAAAATATAAATAAACAATACATCCCAAGAATTCAACTAAAACCATTTAAATAAAAAATATTGCATTATGAGATATAACTAACTGATTCTATCACAAAAAGAGATAGGTAGTGGGAATAAGAAGGAACATGCATTATGGTGGTGAATAATGCATAAATGGGGAGTTGGACATGAAATTTTGGCTTTAGAAAAAAAAAAACCATTTATCTACATTCTGGTGAAGCCAAGTGGCAGTCTGTTAGCAAGTCATGTTTTGTACTCTGCTTTTATATAATAATTTATCTACATTCTGGTGAAGCCAAGAGGCAGTCTGTTAGCAAGTCATGCTTTGTACTCTACTTTTATATAATAAAGATATAAGATATCATTTACTTTATTTCTCATATTTATCTATTTTGTTAAGGTAGTTCTTGTAGTTAGAGGTTTCTTTAAATGTAGTTCTTACTAATACACATGATTAACAAGTATATTTTAGGGAAAAAACAAAACATATTTATTATAAATAACTGACTTAACTAATTTTCTTAATTTACTTCAATTAGTTAACTAATTCTTATATTAATAACATAACGTAGTAACATTTTACACCTTGGACCAAAAGCCTAATATACTGAGAATAATTAGATTTAACCTAATATTTTCTGGTCATTAGCTCTTAGCTTATGTTGACAAAAAAGAGAAAGAAAGAAGCTCTTAGCTTATAATAGCTTTGCAGAGTTGCCGATGCACATTCTCATTTTGGTTACTTTACTCATTATGAGTAACAAGCTAACATTATCGATAGTAACTGGGAATTATTGTTATTTATATGTCCAATTATGCTATTATCGACTTTAATATTGCTCATTTTCATGTACCACACGCTCTCTAAAAAGCATAATAGTCACATTCTTCTAACAAAAACATTTTAATACTTCTTTTGATCTTTAATATAAAAGACAGTTTGACTTTTAAGTTAACCATAAATATAAGACTCCGATTCACTTTGTCTCTCATATTTATTTATTTTTTTCAAAATAATTCTTGTATTAGTTTTTCATGATAAAGATTCTATCAAATTATTGTTCTAAGTAATATAAATGATTAGCAAAAATATTTTAAGAAAGATAATACGTATTTATTATAAATAACTAATTTAATAAACTTTCTTAATCTACTTAAATTAGTCAACTAACTCTTATATTAAAGACAAAAAATAATATATACTTGACCCCCGTTTGGTCAATAATCCCTTAACAATATTGCTTTGATGATACTCTTCTTGAGCTCTTTCCCAGCCTCTTTTGTGGTAATTGGATTTTTTTATTTTGAAGTTTTCATCACATTCTCATAATTAGAGCATTTGACTAATAACACATAACTTTTTTATTTGCCACATGTGTTTTCTTATTGGAGGTAATTCTGTTCAAGATACTATCATGCGTTAAATGTAAATACCTCGATTAGCATAAATTTAAACCTTAATATGTCAATTGTAAGAGATTAGTCTCTTTCACTAAATGTTAACATGCTTGAATTGTAAATGCTAGGTTGTCATGTGTCAAGATCATTACAAGGCTGCTATATCTTAAATCTCTTTCTTCTCCCATGGTGTATTTGTTGTGTGATACTATTTACGGTTCTTAATATAAAAGTTAGTTAATTAATTTGAATAGAGTAAGAAAACTTGTTAAGTTAGTTATTTGTAATAAATAAATGTAGTCTTTCCTAAAATACCTTTGTTAATAATGTGTATTAGCTAAAACTACTATTTGATAAAATTTTTAACATGTGTGACTATTATAAGGACTATTTTGAAGGAAAAAAATTGAATAAGTACGATAAACAATTGGGATCTCATATTTATGACTAAATTGAAAATCAAGCTAACTCTTATATTAAATATCGGATCTAGTATATCAAAGTCTTCTATATAATTTGGATTCACATGAGAGAGCAGGTTACCTCATCAGTCTTTTATGCATGCCCGATACTTTCAGTAAAGGGAAACCGTATTCCGCCACAGGCTACTTAAAAGATGTTGTGTAAGATTTTGACAAAATCACTTACGTCGCTATTTTCAAAATTGATTCATTACTGTTCCCTTAATTTGAAAAATTTTCAACTACTCTATCATGCTGACTATAATTGTATTTTCATGCTCATTTTGTGCCCTAGTATCGTTTAGTGTTCACACTATTTTTATCCATTTTTTGTAAGATCTCAAAAAAGAAATTATAGTGTTTTTCTTATAAATTGTTGCAATGTATAATCATTGTTCATTAATATTATCTTTAAATAAAAATTTGAGTTTGATTTTATAAATTTTCAACTAAGTTTTTAAAATTTTTTTCCTAACGAGGGTTTTTTTTCACATTTACAATCTATGATTCAAATGGGACAATTTATTTAGGTGCATGAATTCTGGGTTCATCTCCAACTCACAGGAAGACACCAAGACCGCCAGGTTATTTTTTTTTTTTGGACTCAAGACCGCCAGGTTAAAAGCAATACTTGTTGGCCAGAAAACAAGAAACAAATAGCCACAATTCATTTCGTGAACAACAAACTCAAAACTCTGTTGTTTCAATATAATTTGCCTTTAACTAAATATAAAAAAATAGTACATCAATCAAACGAGCCCTTATATTAAGGACTAAAAGTAATACTACTACCCCCGATCCTTAATATACGACACTATTTGACTTTTATTTTAGTCATAAATATAAGACCCTAATCCACTTTATCTCTCATATTTATACATTTTTTTCCCAAAGTAGCCCTTGTAACAATAATAGTTCTAGTCAATACACTTGATTAGTAAGAATATTTTAGGAAAGATAACACCTATTTAGGACAAATAACTAACTCAACTTACTTCCTTAATCTCTTCAAATTAGTCAATTGATTCTTATAATTAGGACAGGAGGTAGTAATTTGGTACTCCATTCTTGATAACATCGTACTATAGATTTATTGTAGTCACCGTTGCACAACAGTATATTCCCTACCATATAGGACATTCCATTCTTAAGGATTTAGTGAAAGTAAATAGGTTCTTAGGGGTTATACGTTTATTTTGTCACTCTACAGTCTACTTCACTTAAAGTCACTCTAAAACATTCAAACCAAGTGGAGTGGGCCACATATGGGCCTCGCGACGGGAACACAGACCAGCTCATGGGCCCGTGGAACAGTCAAGCCTGGCCCCTCCATCATATCAATCTCGTCAACTTTGTCACCGCTAGGGCCCATGGGTTGAAAATCAAAGCACTGGATGAGGGCAGCCAACACTGTTGGCACCTCCTGCATGGCTAGAGGAAGGCCAGCACACATCCTCCTCCCACTCCCAAATGGCAAATATTGAAAATGTTGTCCCCTCACATCCAAAAGGCCCTTGGAGTTGGAGGAACCTCCTTCTATGGGCTTTAAGAATCGATCGGGCTGGAACTTCATTGGGCTCTCCCAAAGGTTTTGGTCCCTACCCATGGCCCAAACATTAACCATAAGCACAGTGTTCTCTGGGATAACGTAGTTCTCAATCCTGCTTTCTTCAGTGCACCTTCTTATGACCAAAGGCACTGGCGGGTGCAAACGCAACGTTTCTTTGATAATGGCTTGGATGAAGGGGAGTTTTGGACCGTCGGATTCTTCAACCAACCGTTGATTTCCAACCACGTCATCAATATCCCTGTGAGCTTTTTGGAGTAACTTGGGGTGGTTGATAAGCTCTGACAATGCCCATTCTAACCCGGTTGCCATGGTACCCGTGGCTGCTGTGAATAAATCCTGAAACAACCGTCACATTTATATTTATCACAATTTTATTTTCGTTTCTCACTCCGGCAGAGCTTTGTATACCGAACATAAACAACCAAAGCTCCATCTTTTCTTTTCTATTTCCCTTTTAACCTTGGCTCATGTTTAGGGTCTCTTGCTACGAGGGAAATGTTGAGAAGGAGGAAAATTTTAATGAGTTTCGTATAAAATATTAAAGAATTTGGTTTAAAAACCTTTGAGTTAATATAGTTTTTGGTCAGTTAAATTTGTCATCATTTTAATTTTAATCCCTCAAATTTCAAATAATAGGTTTTGATTCCTCAATAGGCAAAATTGTCTAAATTTTTATTTGATTATAGGAATTAATGAAAAAAACTTGAGGGACCACAATTGAAACTTGAAACTTAGGAGACTAAAACTAAAATGAAGAGAAACTTGAGAGACTAAAGTTTGTAGTAACCCAAAACTTTTAATCAATTTTTCTTACTCTTTTATCTCACATATTTTTTTTATTAAAATTTTATACCCTACTTTTCAATTTTTGAACTCGAACTCATTAAAAATTTTTCTCCTTCTTCTTTTATCTCTATTATTCTCGTACCAACCATAGGGTTAATGTGAGAATGTTTTAATTTGATAGTAGTTAATTTGGTAAGGTTTCTTAGTAATAAAATATTTACTAGCTAGTTTGTTGCTTGGTTATTAATACCCTTCAACGGTCATCAGTCAACAAATTGTGTGTGCGTAATGAGTTGAACATGCCTGATCGATTGAAAGGGGAAAAAGACCTCACTTGATGAAAGATAAATTTAATTTTTTTGTCTACTTCAAACTAGTTATGATTTCGAAATCGGTTTTGAATTCGAATGGAGCACAACTGTTTTTTATTTTGTAATTTTATTTCTTATTGAATTTTCATTTTAAAATGAGAGAACATGCAGTCTGTAGACATATAGATGGCTGTTAAAAAAAATGTAGAAAAGAGTGAGATAATTAACATAAAAATAATCGTGTGCGGGTTTAAATTAAAATTTTAAATAATACAGGTTAATTGCCCTATTGATAGATGTGGATATAGTCATATAGATTTTATTTTTTGCCAACAGTCATATAGATTACCATTAATAATTTATTATAAACAAAACTTGAGGTAAAAGAAAAAAAATATAATAAACAAATATTATATATTCACACACAGATATTTTAGAAAGTTTTGGCTCACGATCTTTAAAATAAATTGATTTTTTTGTGAAGGTAAGAAAATTATACCTACCATATTTATATCTGTATTACTTACAAGAATTTTATACAGAGATCTCATATTCAACTCAAACAAATAATTAGAGATCTCAACTACTTCCTCAGTTTCAAAATATAAGATAAATTTTATCCGGGGATTGATTTTTTTTATAAGATAGATTTTAGTTTTATCTGAGCATTTAATGAGTTTCCGATATTATCCAAATATATATATTCTGCTTTTTCTTTGATTCATTGTATTTTTTACTTTTTACTTTTTTTTATTATTAAGGATATATTTTTAAAAAAATACTTGACATATTTATTATTTTAAAATAATTTTTTAATAAGCATAAATTGGTTAAATTTATCTTATATTTTAAACTAGAAGGGGTAAAAATATTTAATAATAGTATCTAGTTGGGTTGCATGAGATTTAGAAAAGAAAGGAATTTATAGTTAATTACCATCACTAAGCCTTTCATGTGAACCCTGTTGATTTTGACCTCGGAACTCTCATCCTCCGCAATGTCCAGCAAAATGTCAAGAAAGTCCCTATCCCTGTCTTGCTTCCTGCCATTTTTCCTGGCTTGTTCACGCTTCGTTATAATCCTCTCCACTAAACCATCAAACCTCTGATACAGATTCTCGATCCTCTTCCCAAACCCTTGCACGTCCACCTTCTTCAACACTCCAACAAAATCCGCCACGTTGAACTCTCCGAACATCGTGGTCACCTCTCGGATTACCCTGCTCGCCTCCTCCGATTCTCCGATCATCATCTTCGATATCACGCTGTTCGTCATCTTCAGCAATTCCTCCGTCACGTTCACCGCCTCGCCGGACCTCGCTTTTCCAGCGATGAGCTTCAGAAGGTTATGGCACTCCTGGGCGCGCAGACTCGAGAATCTTCCTGTGCCACGAGAACCGACCAGTTCGTTCAAGGTTAGCTTCTTGATGAACTTCCAGTAAGGTCCGTAGGGTGAGAAAGCCAGGGAGGTCTCGTATGTGAGTCTTTTAATGGCGGTGGATTCAAACCGAGAGCTAAAGGATAGTTCATTGTCTTGAAGAAACAGCTTAGCATAATGAGGATTGGAAACGACGACGCAGGGCACGGAACCTAAGTGGAGAGAGAAGAAGGGACCGTACCGGAGGGAGAGGCGGTGGAGGGAACGGTGGACGAGAGGACCGAGGAGGTGCAAGTGGCCAATGAACGGCAGCCGTGGCCAAGGACCAGAGGGGAGGCGGCGGTCACGGCTGAGCCGGAAGAAAATGTGTAAGATGACAAAGGGTAGGAAGAAAGTGAGAAGAAGAAGCTGAAACTCCATGGTAGGTAGCAAGGGTTCAATTGAGAAGCATGCAGCAGAAGAAACTAAATGTGAGGATGGGATAATGCACAAGGCTTGAGGAATATAAATGGAAAAAGCTTTGTCAGAAATTATGTATAAGAGTAAAGCCACATGTCCTGGCAGTCTTGCATCAGTGTGGTGTTGTGAACACTGCTGACGGACAACGAAGACCCTCGAATGCGATGAAACATAATGGCTCTCTGTCGTGGCGGACTTACACGTAATTAAATGAGGTTTTAAAAAAATCATGCAAATATATCTCAAAATTTGAATTGGTTTGGTGCTTTTTATCAGATCATTGTTAAGAGCATCTAAGTACTACTCCTCTAATCCTATTTATTAATCATTTTCATCATGTTTTATAGAGATAAAAATTTTTTTAAATTTCATTAAATTTTATTTAAAATTTAATAACTTTTTAATTTTATCTCTATTTAATATACATTATATTTTATGTAAATAAAGTCAACATAATAATAAATAAAGGGTAAAATTATATAAATATAAAAAAATTTCTCTCAGTACCTTCTAAATAGGATCAAAAAATATTTTCTCTCTCAGTCCTATAAATAGGACCAGAGAAGTAAATGCTAAATGCGTCTTCACCCATTTTAATTTGTCTTATTTATAAGATCCTACTTAAAGAGTGACTATATAGCTTTTAATTTATGGGATAAAAAAGAATTTAAGCACCATTTTGAGTCATCCGTGGCATCTAAATTATACTCCATCCAATCAGTTTCAAATTTCAGATGGAGTGTGACTCATTTTATAAGATTCAATTTGAGTTTGTTTTAACATTTAATACTTTTTTTTCAATATTATCCTTAATTATCTTTTTATCATATTTTTACACACATTCTCTTTTATTTCTTTTCTCATTTATTATAAGGACATATTTGGAAACAAAAACATATTTCTAACCTATTTATTGTTTTAATTAATTATTTATTATTCATAAATTAGTTATTTAAAGGTTATAATAAAAGACCAGACACACGATATTACACAATCTAGTTGAAGCAATTAATGTCATTGACAAGTGTGCGTGGAAATGCTGCTGCTGAAGTTTGCTTCCCCTTCATGAAAGCTTTAGCTGTTTTGCCATGCATGGCCCTAAATGGTGTATGAAACATGCCAGTGCTCGAGTTCGGCGGAGCAAATTTTGAACCTTGGCAAAATCCTTACCCTATGTGAGGAAAAGAAAGGGGAGGAAAGAAATTTTTTTATATTAATGAGTCCGATTTAAAAAATTTAAAAAAATTGTAAAGTTTTAATAAAATATTATATAAGATAAAAGAGTAAGAAAAAATAATTAAAACTTTTTAACTCTATTTCATTAATTTTTTAAATCGAACCTATTAAAATTTTCTTTTACCTTTTCTCCGTCTCACTTGTAGCAAACTAGCTATTGATGGAGAAGTGTTTGGAAGTAGAAGACTAGGGGGGTGTTTGGCAAAACTAAAACCTAGGTTTCAGAAGTACTTTTTCGCAAAACGAGATAACCTCCTCCACATATTTACTTCGTAATCCATAAAAGCACTTCTGAAACCATGGTTTGGTTTCTATCCAAACACCCATTAGGTATAATAAGAGTGTTTGGATTAGTTTTTTTTAAAATAATTTGCTAGCGTATGAGATAAATATGTGAGAAATAATGAAATATTTTATATCAATTCATACGAAAGCACTCTTTTTAATAGGTGTTGAATGTTGCCAAACTCCCCACTCCTCCTACTTAACAGATTTTCATGCCAGCAGAAAAAGAAACAAATGCAACGAATAAATTAAAGGGAAAACCCATACGTAGGCCCTTATATTTTTGTCCCATTTTGAATCAAGTCCCTAAAGTTATTTTTTATTTTGTGGGATCCTTATTGTTTTAACCGTTCTATTCGTTAATCTTTCTGTTTAGAAAACGTTAAACTGAGATTAAACACCGTTGAAGATCTTAATATGGTGGATGAGTGGATTAGACGCCGCAACCCATTCTCTTTCACCGCTATAGAAGACCCAGCCATTGATTTCCAAGTCTTCCCCTAAAGTCACTTGCAAAGAGCAAGTCACAGTCCAACGATCCTCCAAACATCATCACTCCGCCTTTAAACAGAATGATATAATGACGACACAAGTCCCACCAGATGCCCTCGCTACCAGCATGGTCTTTTCGTTGTTGTTCACTGCTAAAATCAAACCCAATTCCTGCCACTCCTACTACCGTCCTCTTTTGCCAAACTATGGCTTCTTTAATTTCCCATATTTAGTTTTCAAAGTGAAAGAACTAAGGTCACACAAGATTCAGCTGCACGTTACTTCATCATCGTTGCTCACATAGAGAGGTTTCTTATACCGGTAAGCTTGAGGGACTGATTGTGAGATTTTGCAAGAAAGTTCATAGTCGAAAGTGACAAAGATCATTGAAGTTCTAGAATGAAGCAAATAATAAAAAATGAAAGCTCCTTGTGAGTTACGTTCTCCTCACTATCCTCTTCTTTTTACTCCAGGAAACATAAAATGCTATTTGAAGTTTGGAACTATCCTTCTTAGCTTTGAACTCATTTTAAACTTCAATTCGGTATATAAAGTTTAGCAGTTAGAAAAGACTTGTGTTTCCTTGTTACAGATTTTAACCCCAATAATAGATAAAATATTGAATGTGTGTGTAAGTTGATGGTCTTTACCATCCTTCATAGCTTTCATATTTTTTGCCTTGTTTACTATGCATAAAAGCTCCTCTGTTTACCTCTGTTTTCCTTAATAGAAAACAGAGGCAAACCAAAAAAAGTTATTTGCCTCAATGATTTACTATGCTTTCTAAAGAAATTTGTTTGTTTCCTCTTCATCTCTTTTTGAAAGGATATTTACCTTTGTGACCAATGATACTCCTTAGCAAACTTTCATATAGAGTATCCGTTAAAATACAGAAGGCTGTGTGCCAATTCATAGGAGTGAACTGCTCACTGACCCTCCTAAGCATCTCCTGAATTGATGTTGAGTTCCCAATATAAGTTTATGACATCTTCAAATTCTTGCGTGGAACATCACACGCACTGGACCTTGCATTGTTAGCAATCCACTCCACAAAGCATGATGAATATATGGACTAGATGCATATGAAAAATTAAAGTCTCGCACGCCAATATGCTGGACCCATGGATGAAAATTTAAGCTCGACAAATCTTCATTTTGATCATAAAATTTTGAGGAGCGTCGAACTGGGACTTACCCTCTGCAGGTGGCCATGGGGGAAGAATTGGAAATCACTGGGGGTCTTCTATAGTGGTGAAAGAAAATGGGTTGCCACGTCTGATCGACTCGCCCATTATATTAGGATCTTTAACGGTGTTTAATCTCAATTTAACGTTTTGTAAACAGAAGGATTAACGGATAGAACGATTGAAACATTAAGGATCCCATAAAATGAAAAATAACTTCAAGGACTTAATTCAAAATGAGACAAAAATATAAGGACTTACATATTAGTTTTCCCTAAATTAAATCAAGTCTCTGTTTTGTATGGAAATAGTCAACAGTACATGTCAGCTTTGAGTTCTAACTATCCGAAGGTCGTCTCGTCAGCGGTTTCACAATGTCCACGTCAACAACCTGTTCGTGATTAAGTCGGTAAAATTCTGAACAGGGTTAAGTTTTAAATTTAGGAATTAACTTTCTATCTCTTTTATACAACTAATTAATTTGTGGTATTATTAGATCAAGTCTATTGTACATTATTAGATGAAGTAATTATCTCAGCATGGTTTTTTTTTCCCTTTTAATTTATGAGGCCTGAACTCTTCACCTTATTAAAAGAAAAATTATTAGGTCGTACTCTTACTCGATTTAAGTACGTATTACTCCTCTGGTATAAGTGTCTTATATTTAGAATCAGAAGAGTGTTAGATTATAAGAATTAATTTTTACAAACAAGGGGTTGATTAAAAATTTTTAAACAAGACTTGGAGGATGCAACTTGCCGAACCGTAGGATACCTTAATTTTAACAAATTGGAAAAAATTTGTCCAACAAAATTGGTAAAAAGCCAGTGCCAATACTTTTATTTAAGTCCTTCTCATTAATGAAATTTTTAAGGGGCAAGATTTATCATGCCTTCTGTTTATTTCCCTCAGAAGTTAACATGTGACGGAAAACAAAAGCCAATATAAGCTTTTTAATCAATTTTAATTTTTCCCGAATTATGGAGAATTTTATTAGCAAGGCAGTGGGAATTAATTAAACCAAAATTCGAAAATATCATAAGACGGATCCTTTGCTGGCCAAAAAAAAAAAAGACAAATCTTTATTGATCAAAACATAATATGGAACAGGATTAGTGATGAAGTGAACCAAAGTGTTGCTTCGAATAGGATTTTGTGCGTATCAAGAAATTATGGGACAATCAGATTTTAAGAAAGAGATTTGATTACCTTAAAATTTATTAACAAGAACAAGTAATGACAAGTTTTAAAGTAAAAAATGATAATAACTTCAGGCTAGTCACTTGTTATTAGGATTTTTTGGTAACTAAAATTTTTTTCATAGAACCTCTTAGTAATTCTCCCAAAAAACATAGTGCTTATTTGGATTGTTTGGTCTATTTGGAATAGCTTGTAAATAATTTTTTAATCGTGATTTAAAAAATATAAAATAAGAGATAAATATATGAGGAGATTTTTGTTTCAGCTTACACAAAACATACTTATGAGCCTGTTTGGTGAGATGGTGCGACAATTAATAAGTAGCTGATAAATGTAATAAGTCATTTTGTAAATTTGAAAACTATTTGAGACAGCTTTTATTAGCTAATCTGATTTATGAGTCAAAATTATATTTTTAAACACGATTATAAAAACTTATGCAAAAGTATTTTAGAATTAAATGAGTAGCCTGGCACAGAGCATTTCGAAGCTTCTTGCGAAGAACTGGAACGGCGAATGCATGCGCAGATGGTCTGGCAAAACTTTTAGCTTTGTCCAACAAGGGGGTTGGAGACACGTGGAGGACGTTGATCCTCATATTGTGGGTGCAGTGGAAAGGGGTAGAGTTGACTGTGATGAATCTGAAGAGTTTCGAACTGTTCACATGTTAGATGGTTTGGGATACGCTTTGTCTTTAGTGTTGCTGGGTTGGGCCCTCTTTGTAAAAAAAAATAATAAAAAAAATACTTTTGTTCTTATACTGTTCTTATGCTTCTTTTTACATATTTATTGTATTTCCCAATCAGTTTTTACTTATTCATTTTTAATATTTTTTTAAGTAAGAATAATTTTTAACATAATTTTTAGAATATTTTTATTTTTAATAATATTTTTTATTTTATATTTATATAAATTGTGCAAAGTATAGCTAATCATGTAATATTATTTGGTTAAAAATTTTCATTTCTAATTTAAATATTTTATTCATTAAATATAATTTCTTCCTATTATAATCATTTAAAATTATTATATTTTGTAAATTTATAATTTTTACTTATTTTTAATTATTTAATAAAAATTATATCTATTTTGGTTATTCTACAAACTAAACTTACTCATTTAATCATAATTTAAATAATTTTTTTACTTTATAAACTAATTTTTATAAAAATCAATTTAAACATAAATTATATTACTTAATATAATTTTTATGTAATCTTATTTTTCTAAAAATCAAATTGATTATAACCTTTTTTTTTTTTTTTATCGTCAATCTTAAACGGACTCTATAGAAATGATTTTGAACATATTCCAAATAAGCTCTAAATAAGTGTGTATAAGCTATTCCAAACAGCAACAAGAACAGTTATGCTAACTTGAATTACATTTAGGCCCTCGTCGCCGTTGGAAGGGCCAAAAAAACCGGGGCCCCATCCCCATGCCACCGCCGAAGAACGGAAGATAAGAAGCCTTACGCCCCACCGCTGCTTTTTCTTCCCGATACTCCATAAGGCTTCAGATACTAAACGTGGAATGATCTGAAAGGTCAGAGTTCTATAATCATTATGGGATTACTCTCTTCATTTCGAACACTTTTAGAATCCTGTGTGTGTGGGGAACCCTAAGTCTTTGTAATCCCTATACATTAATTTTTAGGTTCAGGACGACTGTGCTGGCTGTCACCCTTTGAATGGTGGAGAATTCCATGTTATTGATCTATTGTGGTTAGCATTTATAAGCATGCCTAACTCGTTTCACATTCAAAAATGCGAAAGTCGGAAAGTGTATTGAGTTTTAAGTAGGATGTGATTCCTCTCTCTCTTCCTCTCCCACTCAATTTCTCTCTGTATTCACCGCATGCGTAGGCACAGGCACAGCCAACCCCTTTCTCTCTAGTCTCTTGTTCCCACCAAGATGTATTTTTCCCTGACCGTAGATGGCTTTGTTTCCTTGCAAGTCCTCATCTTCTGTAATTCCATTAAAATTTTCGAGTCTTGTTTAATTTTTTCTTTGCTTACTAGTTTTAATCCTGCTATGAATTCCATTGTTCTTTTTGTTGAGATTTGTGCAGAGGAAAAACATCAACTTTATAGATTGGCGACCACATTGAAGGTTCCCTTCTCTTTCCCTGTGACAAATTGCATCCCTGGGGTTTGTTTCTTTCTCCATCATAGGGAACTCCTCCGTGCATTGGTTTTAAAGTTAACGGAAACATGGTAGAAATTTTTAAATTTTAGGACGTGTGAACCGTGTTGTTGACTCCATAGATGAAAGAAGAGCAAGTTAACTTCATATCTGTCTTTGTGTTAACTTTGTTAATTTGCTCCCCTCTTGCCACACAAGTGTGCATACGAGCTTGCGCGGGCACATCATGAAATTAGGACTGCTTTATATTGTCACAAGCGGGGGTTTTACTGATTCATTGGCTTGTGTAACATTACCATATGTCTGACAATAATTAGGTTTGGGCACTATACTTGTGTTTGAAGAATGGTCTTTATTTCAGCGCATCCTCACAGTTATAAATTTATGCGCCAAACATCTTTAATAAAATTCATTCCCTACTGAAGTCTGCTGTTTGTGCCTTGTGATTTATTTTGCTTCTTTGTTCATCGGATGTATACTTTTTTGTTTTTTTTTGGCCATTATTATTGATTTTCTACCTTATGTAAAAGAATGAGCTTGATTCTCGGGTGTGTGAGCAATTCCTTCTCTCAAATTGAAGTTACTGTGCAGAACAATTGCTGCCGCACATAAAAGATAAACTAGTTTTGTATTTTCTTGGAGTTGAAAACTATTGGGTTACCCATGGACAACACATCTAAAGCTTCATCAACTCGTCCATGGCTCTGGGTGATTGAAGCCCTAGCAAGCTGTAGGGAAATAGACAACTCTACTTTACAAGGTATGCATGAAATGCTAGACAAACTTAAGAAGCTGCTTCTTGTTTTATGAGTGTTTTCTACAGAAAAATAATTCATGACGATTATTTTTTTTAATTTCATTTTCTCCCTTCCAGACTTGATTGATGTAGCCCCTGTAGAGCCCAGTGAATTTGGGGAAAACACAAGCGAATTGGTTGCTGGAAGATGCTTGGAGACCTTGTTCGGTTCTGCTAGTGGATTGAAGTTTGATGCTTCCTCTAGCCCAGTTTCAAGACTTGGCTCAGGCGTTTCAAGAAGTTGTAAAGATGTCCTCCGTCAAATATTTCATGAGGTAATTTTATTCAATTGATCTTTGAAGTGTGGCTGCATTTATTGCATTTCAGAAGCTGGACCAATTTGATTACTCATTTAATTGGTTGGTTCATTGGATGGTTTGATGATGGGAAACATATTTACTAAGTGAGATGCATATTCTTTTGATGATTTTAATCAGATACCATTGTCAGATCCGGAGATAGCTGGAGTAGAGATTGTGCAAAGAGGTGTATACCCATTTGTGACACATGAAAGAGCTAACGCTATGAAATTGGAATTGGAGCAGGTGATAAGAGTCACTGTCTAAAGAAATGAAAATTATTTTTTTCCCTCTCTGTTTCAGTGAATCCATTTTTTATTTACATTATTTAATTATCCTTTCCCCCTAATTCGTTTTTCTGAGTAGCTGAAAGAATCAGTCATTGAAGGTACTCATCCATGTGCTGATCGCTTAAAAGAAATGAGTGAGCTGACACTTCAGAATCAGGATTTGTCTGCAAATGATGGCAAATGCAATGATCTTTCTAATAATGATAATGAGAGTGACATGGGAGCAAAACAGAAGTCATCACCAAAAGAACATTTACACGGTAAGAATTTTTCACCCTCTAAGAGAAATAGGGAATACTCATTCAGTGTGCATGATATGCCATACATGTGAAGCACATTAATGTAGAAGAATGTGATGATTTCCTAATAAGTGAAAAGAAAAATAAATATTATCCACCCAATATTGAGTTAAAAAATGATAAGAATTGCCGAACCGCATCTTTGCTTGAAACTAAGGATGATAACGAACATCATATTGTGCCTCTTCCAGCAAGTATTGATGATCCAGAAAAAGCTCAACACAAGAGTGGCAATTCTCAATCTGAACAGGAAATAGATGTTCAACCGAAGGAACCCAATGCTGCATATCCAAATCCCACACACGAAGTTACCGTTGATTCTTTTAATGGCGTTGGAGCAGACCACCCTGAAATGATTGCTTTTGCTGCCGAAAGGCATGAGTTCTTTAGCCCTCACTATCTATCTGGTCATGATTTCTCAGAAAATACTGAATGGAGAGACCAAAATCTTTGTATGAAGTGTAATCAAGGCGGTCAGTTACTGGTTTGTAAAACAACTACTTGCCAATTAAAGGTTCATGAAAGCTGTTTTAGTAAGTCTGCTCAATGTGATGGGAAGGGCAACTTTTTGTGCCCATTTTGTGCATATTCTTGTGCTGTTTCAGAATATCTTGAAGCAAAAAAGAAGGTTTTTGTGGCTAGGGAAGAACTATGTATCTTCCTTGGTAAGGGTATAGAGGATCAGGCAATGGAACTCCTTGAAGTTCATAGAAAAGAAAATAACTCTTCAATCAAGGACAAGTATGAAAATGATCTCATCAAAGACAATGGAAATGACCAGTCATTAGGAACAGCAAGAGAAGACAATCAAGAACATGTAAACGAAGTCAGTACTCTTCAGTTTGAAAGAAGTCAGCAACAGGCAGAGGCTTCCATGCCATGTGATAATATTCCTCCGTTATGCAGAGAAAAGGGAATTGTAAACAATGGGACGGAGACAGTTTTAAATGGAGGAGAAGGAACGGGTAACATTGAGAATCCAAAAATTTTACATGTTCAAAGAGTTGAAGAAAGCCAAGTTGCAGCAGACCATAGAACTGCTGGTGATAGCTTATTTCGTCATGTTCCCTCTGTTAAGCAAAACGCTACGGGGAAAGAAAATCAGCGGGAATTAATTGGAGAATACAGCACTGATCGGACAGAAGAGCCTGCTTGTGCGCATTATAATGAAGAGAACGTTTCTGAAGATGGCAGTGAAAAGCATATAAATTCTAGATACTCCATGAGATCCCGAAACTATCAAACACAATGGTAAGATTCATTACTTAGTTCTGCCATGTGATGTCTGCACTTCTTTCCCATTGAGGTGCTGACTGGTTATGCTTATTTGTTCATGTTCTATGCTTTACAAAAGCATGTATTTTAATGTTAACAATATGTTCAAGGGTCCAGACCGGTTTTTATACTATTTTGTTTATTAGACTAATTTTCAGGATATTGAAAGATGGAGTATGTTCATGTGATAACCATTTTAATAGGATTGGTAGTGGCTTTTGTCTTTTGGACAAAATAACTTATGATTGTTTAATATGATTTGCAGCAAGCCACGACCTCCACTATTAAGAAAACGGAAGAACGTTCCATGGACAACTGAGGAGGAAGACATACTAATGGTATTAATTCTTTGCTTTTCATTGCTTTAAAATTTGTGATTTTGAACTTTGTATCCTGTGTGAAGTTGTAGAATTTGGATTATAATAGATAGAAAAAGAACAAAAATAGAAGATTGAAGAATAGAGAGATGATAGAATCCAGAATTTTATCAACTGTCAAAACTGGTTCCTTCTCATATTAAATGACCAATTTAACGAGTTAGTCAGGATTCTAATGAACTAAGCACCCCTTCTCATATGTGCGCACATAAGCGCAGGCTGGCCGTGCTGCGTGCTGTGCTGCACTTTGTTGTGAACTGTGTGCTGTGCTGTGCAATGCAACTTGCTAAATAATGGGTTTTGTGCAGGAAGGAGTGCAGAAGTTTGGAGTGAGCGACCAACAAAGAATGCCATGGAAGCAAATTTGGGAATTTGGCTCTCATGTTTTTCTAAGTGAACGTAGGCCAGCAGATCTGAAGGATAAATGGAAGAACATATGCAAAGCAAAAAGGAAATCAAAATGAAAGAGCAGCATCTTGGGCATGCTCCTGTGAATATAGTCATGTTTATATGCTCTTCATACCTATCCCAGCCTGACGATTTTCAGCTGTTAAGAGTTACCATCATATTTTCAGTCAACTGGGTAGCTTATAGTCGGGCTTGGTTGTATTTGGGTTGGATTAGAAACTAATTCGGTGAAGATCTATGTAGTTATGGATGATCCTGCTTAGAAAGGACTTGTAAAGATATATGTAGTTATAGTTTGATGATTTTTTACCCCTTTGTTAGTTATATTCAACTCAGCCGTTAATAGTTGCGATCTTCCATTATGTTCTTACTGTTTTATCGTTAATATAATTTATTTATTTCGGTATTGTTAATACTACTTATGATTCTTATTATAAGAGTTTATTTGACTTTTATTTTGATCGTAAATAGAAGATCTTAATTTATCTTGTCTTTTATGTTTATTCATTTTTTTAAAATGTAGTTTTTATAATAATAATAGTTTTAGCCAATATACTTGATTAGTAAGGATACTTTAAGAATGATAATACTTATTTATTACAAATAACTAATTTAACTAATTTTTTTAGTTTACTTAAATTAGTCAAGTAGTTTTTATATTAAAGACCATAATTAGTATAAGTTATTTTATTCAATTGAGCAGGTAAATATATAATGCTTTCAATTAAATTATTCTACCGGAAAGTATACCTAAAGACTCTTGGATTTATCTCCTTACTTAAAAGTTGCCATAAAAAAGCTCTTAAATTTGAGCTGTCTGATGTTATCAACATATTTTAATTAATTAGTGGATGTAAAATCATATCCTCATGTTAGGTTAAGTGATGAGGATGGGGTGAAACATGGATAGAGAGTTCGCGAGTTTAAGCTAATAAAATCACATCCTCTAAATGTTCTTGGAGATAAAACTAAATAAAATGTCATTTAAGCGGCTAAAACTGGCTCGAATTTTAACGATGGAAGACAAATCATTTCATTTCTTGGAAGAAGCATGGAGAATTGAACTTACGTTCTAGAGAATTTGCATTGTTGAACTGATCCAACCATCTTCCATCGCCAATTTTTGCTTCGTTTTGCTTATATTTCAGGTGGATTACAAAATATCCAGATGTAAGGATAAAAATTTTAGACTTTGTGCAAAGAAAAAGGATGAAAATTGTAGACAGAGAAATTGAATGATGGTTTTATCTAAAAAAGAAGAAAGAAAGAAATCAAAGATAAATTTAGGAGTTTAATTATACCAACGAAAATTTTGAATGTAATTTTTTCTGATTCTTTGAAAAAAAAGTTATAACACTTTTTAACTTGATTATTTTTCCTCGTATATTCTTCTTTCATTTCAATTTCACATAATGTGAATGAGACCCTTATCAACAGACGTTGTAGTTTACACTATAAAACTCTTCCTCTTCCATATAATTATAATATGTAAAAAAACATTTTAAAGAATCAATATTATGATTTCAAGTTACAAAAAAAAAAAAATCTCTCCACAGTAAAAAAAAAGAAGGAGCCTGAAAATAGCAAACAGTGGACTTTTACTCACTAAATCTTGTTTGGATCAAAGCAGAAATACAAACATTAATGCCTTCCAAATCTTCGTTTGATTAATACAACTCTTCACCTCAATGGATCATCATCACCCAACTGATTTAGCCTGAGTTCCACAGCCTTGAGATCGCGAAGATGCAGCAATATATCCTGAAGAAGATCCATTCCCTTCTGATCTCCCTGCTCTGTGGATCCCATACAGTTCTTTAGAAACTCAGTGTCAGTTTCAAGAGCTTGTAGCTTCTCATAAACATGATCAACCTCTTCTTCGATGGACACTTTCATAGTTGCATTATCAATGGGACCTCCTGAGTTTTCCTCTTGCCTTCCACATGAATATGATTCTTCTGTCTCATCATCATTGACTGCATCTAAAAATGGAAGCAGCCTCTTTGCCAGAGAAGCCATTGGCATTCTTGGAGAGTGACATTGCTTATCATCTGAATACACATTGTTACAGCACATATCTTCCTCTGGACTGCTAAAAAAGCTGTTCTGATTCAAGTCATCAAGAAGTTGCTCTTTATCACCCAAAGTTATGAGCTTTTCCTCCAATGCTTTGAGCTGGTCTAGAATTGACAGTTTCTCTTCCTCAAATTCTGCTAATGAACTATCAAGAGCATTCATGTGCTTCACACAGTCCATTGTCATTTCCTCCAAGCTTGAAACTGTATCAGTAGAAGTGGTTGTGTTAATGTTATCTTCTTCCCTTGGTTCACAGTTCAGATCAATGGATTGCTCCTCAGTGTCTTCACCCAAAGACGGAGAAGAAGAGGATTCTCTACTTCTATCACTTCCATTTTCATTCTTCTCAAGACTCTTAGTTTCTCTTTGGCTTCAAAATCCATTACCTTCTGCTTGTACTCTTCCAGCTCCTTCTCAAGCTCTTTTTTCTCTTTCTCTCTTTTCACCATGAGATCGTTCAAGAGCTGCAAGGCTTCTTGATCATATTCTGATTGTTCTTCCATCATTCTCTGGTATTGCAATGCCTCCATCTGCATTGCTGCCTTTTCTTCTTGCAGCCTGGTGATCATAGCCATTGTCTGGTTTGCTGCAATTGCTGAGGCACTTCTCTCTTCTTCTAGCTCTTGGTATAGAGCACTTAAAGTCTTTCTCTCTGCTTTCAGAGCTGTTTTCAGTTGTTCAATTGTCGATACTGAATCGCCATTTTCTATCTCACTTCCATCCCCAGACTCTGTTTTCTCATAAAGCAACATTTTCCCATGCAGGTAATGCAGGCCATCTACAGAACTTGGAGTTTCAGGAAGTTTGTCTTCTTCTACTTCATCTTCCGCACAGGATTTTGATGAATGATTATGGCTTGTTTCTTCATGATTTTCGTCAGCCAAACTTAGGTCAGCATCCTCCTCATCATTTGCACCAGTTTCAACAAGACCTGCATATTTTATGGAAACAATCCCATATTAAGATTTTTTTTGCCCTTTTCTTAGAATGAAGTGCTTAGCAATCAGAGAAGGTAGAAAGAAGTATTACAAGAAAAAGAGTGAGAGTGAGACATTCCAAGGCTGTTCTGAGCAATGAATTTATCAAAGGCATCAGGAACTTCAGCATCATCGTCACTGGTTAAGGATTGGTCTTCTTCTATGCATTCACAAGAACAGGAGGGTTCTTCAGATTGAGGCAGATTGTCTGTGTGAAAAGGCACTTCTTGTCATCAATGGCGCTAAAAATAATGAAACTAAGTTCTTTAAAGTGAATTATGGATCTCTAACCAGTGAACAAGCCAACTAGGAAACAAGATAAGTGATGTACTTTCTTTGTACCTTGTGTATCATCTGCTTCTTCTGGGGTTGTTTCTATGTTGTTGTCACCACAGAACAAAGACTGAGACTGGCAAATATTATTCTGAGCTAAGAATTCATCAAAGGCATTTTGAACTTCAGCATCATCGTCACTTGAAGAGGTTTGATCTTCTTGGGTGCATTCGAATGCTGATTTTAATTAAATAAGTCAGAAAAATTGAGAACAACAAAAGCGACAAGAGAGAGAGAAAAAAAAAAGGTTTCATAATTCTTATAAATCATGGGCTTTCCTCATACCTTGTTCATCGTCTTGCTTTTCCATGGCTGATTCAGCATTATCTCCATCATTTTTTAACCCTTCGTCATCTTGTTCCAAAACCATATGATCTTTCATGCTTAATTCAGCTTCAATTGATGACTCAGAGGCCAAAGTTTCGATCTTTTGGTCCTTCTTCCCAACACCATCTTCTGATTTACAAGCTCCAAAATTTGCAGAGGTAAAAGAGTCTATTAACTCCACAGGTATCACACGTTGATCCTTATCATCTACGTTGGTTTCAAAACGCATACTGATGCAATCAAACGATCTATCTTCCCAAACAGACTCAGAGAAACGATGAAGAAGATGGTGACATTCACTAATCGGATCCGTGTCTGTAATGATAATAAGATCATCTTCTTTCTCATCTTTCTCTGCATCCTTTGAAACAGAACTGTTCGAACGATCTTCTGCCACTTCTCTGAGTATAAAACTCTCCACATCAAAAAGTATCTGATGGTCACACTCTCTATCTCCTTCTTCTTCTCCTTCTTCCTCATCTTCATCTTCATCATCATCATCGGAGGCTTCCACAATCAAAGTCTCTTTGCTTGTATAGGTAGTTCTCAAGCTCTTATCACAGCAAGAGCATCTCTCAGATTTCTCACTAAACCACGAAACGAAAGCCATGCCTCTAATGGAGACCAAGCAATCCTCACACATGCTCTGTGTCTCCGCCATTTTCCCATGGATTGAGCAGAAACCCATCTTGGAAATCTCAGCCGCGTGAGTTTCACACACAGCATCGCTCTGCAAGACCTTGCTTTTACTCTCCGGCTCTAGAACATGATCGAGCCTTGAACAAAGCAGGCACGGAGGCTTGAGGCCTACCCATTTGGCAAACCTTGTGATGAGATAACTGAAGAGAGAATTCAGAAGAAGAAGAAGTATCAACACCCATTCTAGAACCGCATAAACCAGAGTCACAACCACAGTGTTTGTGTTTCTGTGCAGCAAGGTCGCAAATTTGTTGGCAGCCATTGATGGGGTGAGAGAAGTAGAGAAGAAGAAGAAGGAAGGAAGGATGATTCAGAGAAAGGTGCAAGGAATTTAGGCACTGTATTGAATTTGATTAATATATGTTGTATCATTATGAGTCTGCATAAAGGGAGAAGGGCATCATTTCAGAGGAGGGAGAGTGAGTCTGCGATGGCACTAGTTTTCTTTAGTGTGGGGTTTGTTTTGAGGCCATGCGACAGCATTATAACAGAGAGTCTTATTATAAGAATACTTTTGGAGGGTATGTTGTAAAGTGAATTATGAGTTCCCATCTGTGTGTTGTAAACGGATGCATGCACTGGACAAACGAAAATGAGATTTCATGTCTTGTGTCGTGTTTGGCTTCAAGTTTGGGATTCTCACTTGTGGAGCTTTCAATTTCAATAGCTGCATTATTTTGACATTTGTTTGTGCACATCATATCGAAAAAAAAGGGTAAGATCTTAATGATGACATTATCGTTCAAGAATTTAATTTGATGGTTTATTCTACTTGAAATTTTAAAAAGAAAAAATTAATATATCAGTCCCTAAAATTCAACCAAATATTAAATCAGATCCTGAAGATTTTAATGATGGTTCATCAACTTAAACTACGAGATGTGCATGTTTCACCAACAAAAAGACAAGCATACAAAACAAAGCCAACAATAAGAATAAAATAAAAAGGAAAAAATTATAGAGACATCAATTAAAATTAGAGTAAGGTGCTTAA